AGCGGTAGTGCGTCAGAGGCCGCAGTGATGGCGCAATATCCAGCTGCCTTCTAAACCTCGTTTTCTTAGAGCAGCCCCTCTGTCCCCTCCTTAAACTCCTCTCCCACATCTGCTCCCACCCCTTTAGTTACGAGAAGAGAAGCCATCAGCTTTAAAGATTTATTTGCATTCAATTTCTGAAATGTACATTCCATTAAACAAGAGCTGTATAGCAGGATTGTTTACTCCAAAACCATTTCATTAATCAGCCTTTGTCCGGGAGGTGGAAGGAGATGAAACCTTTGTACAACTCATGTTGAAAAGGATGTGCAAATGGAGAGAGCCTGTCACCAAACCACTTTGTAAGAATTAACACACCAGTGCACAGGAGATGTTCCCTCTACAAGCGACTGTTTTCTAGTTATGCATTATTGATGGATGTATCTGAAATTGAAATGAACCAGCTCCAAGGGCAGCTCTCAGAGATTTCATAGAATCACTAAGGTTGGACAAGATCTCAAGGATCACCAAGTCCAACCGTCAACCCAACACCACCCAGCCCACTAACCCATGTCCCCAAGCACCGCATCTACACGTTTCTTGAACCCCTCCAGGGATGGTGACTCCACCACTGCCCTGGGCAGCCTGTTCCAATGCCTGAGCACTCTTGCAGTGAAAACATTTTTTCTAATACCCACCCTAAACCTCCCCTGGTGCAACTTCAGGCCATTTCCTCTTGTCCCATCACTTGTTCCTTTAGAGCAGAGCCCAGCACCCCCCTCACTGCACCCTCCTTTCAGGCAGTTGTAGAGAGTGATGAGGTCTCCTCTCAGCCTCCTCTTCTCCAGACTGAACCCCCCCAGCTCCCTCAGCCGCTCCTCGTCAGCCCTGTGCTCCAGACCCTTCCCCAGCTCCGTTGCCCTTCTCTGGACCTGCTCCAGCACCTCAATGTCCTTCTTGTGGGGAGGGGCCCAAAACAATCAGATGTATCTGTTCATAAATATACTCTGGGGGTAGACACAAACATATTCTAGAGTTGGAAAGGGAGAGGCAGAGAAACAGAGAGGAAGTGAGGAAAAAACCTCTGTTAACTATTGACTCGGATCTCTTTATTCCAGGGGAAATCAAGGAATGGGGTAGGACAGGAATAATGGCATATCACTCATACTAATGATGCAAAGAATGATCTCTCTTGAGTTAGTGCAGCAAACTGTAGCCAACTGTTGAAAGAAAGAAAGGACCAGAAATGTCAGAATTCCTAACAACATCTGCCACTGACAGAAGATTGTCACCAGACAGATCTTAATCTCAGCTGGACAACCTCAGATGAGAATAACTGAGGCCCTCTTAAAGGACTGATCACCTGATCTGCCGTTATGAGCATGCAATTTCATGAAATGGCACACACAAGGGAACTGCTACTTAGCAGTTTGCTTTCAAAGACAAAACATGAAATGTAGCTGTAGTTTTATACCAACGTATTATTAAAATGTGAAAAAATTTTCAATTCCAGGCATCACTATTAAAAAAAAAAAAATACAGTGCTGGTTTTCATCCCCAATGCACACATATCCTTCACTTTGACATGAAACAGAAATCCGTTGCACAAGGTGTAGTAGCTCCATAAAGAACTCTTGGCCTTTCTGTTTCCATCAGTCCAAAACCAGGAAGTTCTGTGATAAAATATAAAAATCTTCATATCCTTATGCCATTTGGTTAAAAAAAAAAAAAAATCCTGAGTTTGTTTCAAAAATACTTTCTGTGCAATTGCTGCGATATAAAGCTTCTCCCCAAAATGCAGTAAATCAGCTTGTTTCATGAACATCTCTGACGTCGGTCACGCTGTTGCCCAGGACGGCATCTAAAGGAGCCCGTTTTTTCCGTATGCTGCGTCCAGAAGCAATCAGATCAGCATATCCCCGCTGGTGGGAGAAAGCGTAAGCAGAGCGACGGCCAGATATCCCTCGGCGAAAAGCACTCTGCCTTCGCTTCCACTGCTGTTCTTCCACCATGTATTTCTTTCGGTTCTTCTGAATCTTCACGCATGTAAAGACAGATTAGTTTATGGATTACAAGGGAAAACAGGTTGTTTGTATTTCCTGGCTGGGGAAATAACCCGATGCTTTTTTACATCCTTAAACCGTTTAAAAGGAGAGTAGAAGGTTCTCTTGTTTGAATTTGATTTTGTTAGAAACAAGAGTAACACGTCACTACTTCAGGAAGACTTACTGCATTATTTTGAACTTCCTTAACTTTAATTGATCTTTAAATGTCTTTCACTGAGGTGGACTGAAGATATAGAGTTGGAAGGGGTTCCTGTGTCATGCTGACACTTCTTTAATATATTTTTTAAACATTAGCACAGTTTTAACTATTTCCATACCCATATGCTATTTGCCAGCTCAAGGCAGAACAGAAGCAAACAAAAAACTGTTCTGATAGATAATAAAGGAACTCCAACACAGCCCAAATAAAAACAAAAGTCAAGCCAGCAGTAGCTTCAAAGTAGGCTTCTACGGGTTTACAGTTGAGTGCTCAGCCAAGACTAACGATGAATTAGCCCACACTGGACTGTTTGCCAAGCTGAATATCTGTGTGATACCTCTGCATCCCACAGAGACACACACTGGGAAATAAGGACACATCCAAGTGACACTCTGCCTGGGATGGCAAAATGTCATAGCGCCAGTCATCACCCAGCTGGGAGGAAGGCTCGGTCTGGCCTTGGGACAGCCCTGCTGCCACCTGCCCTGGCCACGGGACCTCAGCTCCCATCTTGTGTGGTCTTCCCTAAGGCACAGTCACTTATTTCTCTCTAATATTAGCACCAGTACTGTCTCGTGTAGGTAAACACATACCAAATTATGCAAAATAATGCAAGACTTTACTCACTCGATCGCTTTCCGAAGGCCAGATTGTCATGGAAAAGAAACGCCATGCCACTACAGGAAGCAAGCAAATCGCAATTGATAAAATCATGGTCAGCCAGAGGTACGGTTGTCTCAGAGCATTTGGAGCAGTTCCTGGGAATAAAAAGAGCAAAAAGTAGTTTATGACATGATCCAGCAAACTAGTTGTAAAACACAAATAAAAGATTAAAAGCCATAGGTTCCTTCCTGAGGAGCTAACTTTCCGGTAGGCTGATATTATTTTTTATTCAGAGACTCTACTGAGAAGAGAGCATAAATACTTTTTTTCAATTGGATTAAGCTTAAAAATGAGAACATAAAATTAAGGGGGTTTGGTATTTTGGGTGGGGGATATTTAGATTCAAGGCAACATATGAAAAATTTGTCACTAGGACAATTAGGAACACAGTTTTCCACAGAAAAAAAAATTCCAGCTGGCTGCTGCTTACGCCTCCCTGGACTTCCAGCAAAATCCCAAGGAGCTGCTAACAGCATTTGGCTCTATCTTACTTTGGGGTTTTCCCTTCTGCTGATCAGTTGGAGCAACTTGGCAAATGCATATCCTACCAGATCGTCGCATGCCCTTTACTTTAAGCTGCCCCACCAATTTTAACTTAATTTTCATTTTCAGCCTCCTAAGGCTGGGCAACATCGAGTTCCAGCTCGTTTTAATTGACATAAAATAAATAGCCCAATAAAGGATTTTGGCCATAGTTCTGTTCAAGTTACAAAACTGTGTGAGACAGGAACAAAAAACCACAAAAACCAGAAGGACTGACCTGTGAACTGAAAGCCAGAAGGAAAGAGAACATGGATTCCAGCACTGTGGAGGTCAAATGTGATCCCAAAATAAAGTGCAATACTCCCAAATATTGAAAAAGCATTAACGAAAGTCCAGTAAGATGTGTCCAAGCCAATCTGAAAGCAAACAAATGAGTTTATTAATTCCAGAAAATGTTAACTACTCTGAAGACTGAGAGCGTTTTGTTCAAGTCATCTCCCATCCAGAGAGACATCAGTCAGAGAGAGAGCATCAACAGAGAAGAGAAAAGGCAAAAAGGGAAGCTTTTTTGTATATTGTTACGTTTTTAATAGACAAATTCGGAAACGTGACCAGAATGTGCTTTCAGACCAACAGGGGTCAGGAATCTGAGCTTACTTGCCTGGAAATTGACAACAAATATAAGAGAAGATGCTGCTGTGACAGCAAATGACTGATAATCTGAAGGTGCTTCTCCATCTTGTCCCATAGTTTTAAGGTAAGCTCCATACGGTATGAAGAAGATGATCAATGAAGTTATAGCTCCATGAAGCAAACTTAAAAAGAATTTCTTGTAGTTAAAAAGTAAATCTTTCTGTCCCAAAACATACAGCGTAGGAAACCGAAGACTCAATTTGTCACTCACATCCTTAATAAAGGGACAAAAGAAGAAAAGAAGTTGCTGTAAATTCTTGTTCTAAGTGTGAGCTTTGAAGAATAAGCAGCTCAGCTGTACTTACTTCTTATCACAAAAGAAGGCAGAAATATTGATTTGCCTAATCAGCAGGTAAGCTTTGTATGAAAAAACAAGTGGAGAAGACCAAAAGCACGTGTCCCACTGAATTAAAACTAATGCTACGCACCGAGGCTTCCTGTCAAATACGGTCATTCCAAACTGTTCAGTCCCCACATCTCCAGCTCAGAAGGGTAAGCAAGGAATATCTTTTCCATTACCAAAACCTCCCATTGCTGGGAATGTCGTCATGGAATAGCAGGCACTTAGAAATATTTCTTAACAATCATCATTAGCACTGAAGACCTCTGACACAATTAACTTTGGCCATTTCAGTGACTCTGCTTGTCATCTCTTGTTATCTCACACGCTGGGAAGAGGAATACTTTTTTAAAAGACAAAAAACCCAAACAAAGCCCCCAAAATGCCTTGTACATAAATAAAGCAGTATTGGTGTAATTAAAGATAAAATATTAGGTCCTTTTGTTAACACCATGGAGAATACCTGGTCAAGCAAGCCAACTAGAAGAACCGGGAGGCTAGAATACAACACATTGTACAGCGTGATGAACCAGTCTTCATATGCTGTCTGCAAGAAGAGGAAGAATTTCAGTAGTTAATGATTTCTTATTATTATACCTTTTCCTTCCATTCCTGAGAAAATTCACACATGCTCTACTATAGCGTTAAATTACCCGTCTCAGTGTTTACCCAAAAGGCAAGCAGCACCTTAGCTCAAAGCTCTGTTGAAACTATTTTTCGCCTGCATCAAGCTGCCCCACTGCTAGCCAGCAGTTCAAGATTTAAAAAAAAAAAAAAAAAAAAAATCCAAGTTTGGCATCCTACTGATATCTACACGCGCCATCTCACTTCACCTAAGCGTATCTTAAGTAGCAGGGTTGGGAGAAGTTTCCCAAACTGCTGTATAACAATCTCTTCCTCTCCTCCTCCCTGTACAATCATGATATGCCTTCTTACCTGGGCAGAAAAGCCGTTAAAGAATGAATACCAGATGTGGACTAGCGTAAAAGCAAAGTTTTTGTAGAAAAAATATCTTAGGAACTTGCACATCCTAATGTAAGACCATCGTCCATGGACCAGCAGCAGTCTTTGGAGGTAGCGGAATTGCCCAAAAGAGTAGTCACTTGACATGACGGCTTGCATCCCTTCTTGGCCACTGATTCCAACTCCGATGTGGGCAGCTAAGTGAATGAAACAAAACACCACACACTGTGTTGAGCAAAGGGAGGGGAACAGCATGACCAAGGGCAAACCCTCTGCCGGTTCCTCTTCTCCACTTGAGGTTCTCCTGCCCCATTTTAATTCTGTATGCAGCACAGAGGCTGCATTAAGGACTAACACAACAGTGCATAAGCCTGTCCTTGCCCTGCTATTTACTGCTCACGTCTCCACTCTCGCATGGGTTCTCACTCAGTGCTTGTTCTTGTTGACCAAGGGAGAACCAAGTGATGAAGCCAAAGCAACCAAACCCCTGAAGGAACTGGCCAGGCAGTTTACAAATACAGTCCTAACATAAACCATATCCCAGAAGTTTCATTCTCAGTAGGATTTTTCAGGAATTGGTTCAAAGAGCACCAGTTGCAATACAGCACGGCTAGTGCCTCCAACCAAGAGGCCGCTAAGCTCTTGCTTTGTTCTTTGCATTATACTTTTGTGACCCACAACATGATAATTCAAGCCCCTTCTCACAGAATGTCTACAGAAAAAGCTAAAATACACCAGCAAAAACCACTAACCATTTCATAAAGGGCTTCCTCAACAAGGGAAAGCACAGGCATAGAAGTTAGCAAAACCCAAGTGATGTTAACGTGGGTATGAAATAGACGGGAGAGTCTTCTGAAGAGAGTGATAGCGAAGAGACTGCAGAAGAACGCCCAGAAGAGATCTTTCCTACCGAGAGAAGTTTTACAGCTGCCTTACTTTTAATCATGTTTACATCATTGGCACCATCCCCAATAGCCAGAGTAATGGCTTTCTTGTATTTCTTCACAAGCTCAACCACCATGGCTTTCTGCTTCGGCGTCACCCGACAGCAGATCACAGCCCTGCATTCGCAGGCCAAATCCACAAAGTTCTGCTGCTGCTGTTCTTTGTAAGCTTCAGCCCTTCTTCTCTTCTCTGCTTGCTTTTTTTTCTCTTCTGCTGTTCTGGGAAATTTCAGTTTAAGTTTCTTTTTCTTCTTTTTCTTCTCTAGCAGGATTTCATTCTGTGTAAGGAAAATATTTTATGCTTCCTTCTACACTATTTCAAATCGCACCCCAAGTACTGCCTATACAAGACACTTCATTATGCTCCCATCACCCATTTATAGCATTTTAATAAAACGCTCATGCAGAGGAGTGAACAAAGAGCTATGACAACAATGAAAAAAATGTACTTGGTAGGATTAACAAAAGCAAAATGCTTGTATTTAGTGTCACAGCACTTCTTGCAGAGTTCTAAGGAATATTTCTTCTGATGGGAACTAACTCAGTCTTGAAAACATTCTGATATTTCAACTTTCCTCTCTCCTATTTCCCCCTCTCCTAAAGGAAGCACGACCATGTCCAGTACCTGTGGAAGTGTCATCTAAACCCCTAGGTTAGCTCTGGGGCAGTTCAGCTGGAG